TTTGTAGTGTTAGCTTGTTTTAGTTATCAACTGTTTTCTAATGAGAGGAATCACATTTCAGGCTATTCAAGCAAGACGTCAGCGAATGGCTGCATGTGAGGAACCCTCAGATGGGGTGTCGTTAAAATTTAAATATCCCAATGGATATGTCAACATGAGGAAATTCTGCTTGTCTGAGACAATTCAGGTGGGGTGTTCAGCTTCACAAAATATTAAGGGTCTTCTCAATGGTTCGGGCGGTTGTAACACCTGACTGGTATAACACTGTGCCTCATTTTTTTATTAGGTTTTGTTTGACTTTGTTGGTCAACATGAAATGGCCAGTGAAATCTTTAAGGTGCAGGAAACCACATCATCAAGATCAATTGAGAGCAATTCCTCTGGGTCAATAATGGATCATGACCTAAAAGCATCCTCAACTCTATATGTACTTTGGCTTTCAAATCAGGATGTACAGGTAAATGTATGTTGCATATCTTACATCCTGTCTCAAGTCTCAATGGAATCTGTGTTTGGTTCATGCGAGCTCATCTATTGTGCATGTTTGTCTTCAAATAAGGAAATTATCTCAGGTCAGCAAAATGATGGAGCTTATGCCCTACACCATGCATCTCCTGGTCAGCCACTGCTGTCTGTGCCCTCCACCCAGCCTCTGCTGCCTGTGCCTTCCACCCAGCCTCTGCTGTCTGTGCCCTCAACCCAGCCTTCGCTGTCTGTTTCCTCCACCCAACCACCACTCACTCTGTTCTCCACCCAGCCACCACTGTCTGTGCCCTCCACTCAACCACCACTCAACCTGTTCTCATACACAACAGACATCCAAATGCTTGATGATGGACCACTCACTCCTCCATCTGCCCAGGATGTAGTCATTATTGTTGATGAACAAGAGGAGCCAATTTCACAAAATCTGTCACCTGTATCACAACATCAGCTGGGAGGACCTATGGATGAGTATGTTTCTTCTCATTAACCCTGCCTGCCTTTATTTTGTTTTGTTTGTCTGTGTGTACATTTCTCTTAATCTATATCACACAAAGGACTCACTCTAACCCAAAGTAAATATACTATATAGTCAGTGTGATGTTTATGTCCTGTTGCATTTAATCATGTGAGCCCAAAAATTAGAACTGTTTTAAAATGTGATACATTTGGCATATGAATAAAATGCATTAACTTTTTTGGTTGTAGGACTGATCTTCAAAACATATTGACAAAACTGGTCAGCAAAGTTGATGAAAGCTTCTGTCCAACCAGCAACCAAATAAATGTGTGCAGGAATAATGTCTTGCTGTGTAGCCTGCGAGCATTCAAACGTAGGAACTTCAACACTGAAGCAAAATTGGACGTTGCATTTGTGGATGAAGATGGCAATGGTGAAGGGGCAGTTGACAAAGGTGGCCCAACAAGAGAGTACCTAAGGGTGCTGATGAGGGCCATCCACCAGTCAAACATCTTTGAGGGCCACGAGAAAGATCGGCAGTTATCTCTTGATACTCAAGGTAAGTAAGCCCACATTCTCATGACTGTCCTTTGGGTCCTTGCAAGTTTATACATAGAAACTAATTTTTAAGAAATGCTATCCCTGAACTCTTTCTCCTGCCTGGTTTGCCAGGTATTATCTTGTGTTATCATTGTCTGGGTATCATCTTACTTGTATCTGTTATTTTTGTTTAATAATTATTTTTGCCTTGAACTCTTTATTCTGTTTTTTTACCTGGATTCTTCATTGATTCATGTTTTAAATTGACCTTTTACTTTTTTTGAAATGTGCTATAACAATTTATCATCTGTTGTAGCACTAATGTCAGTCATTACAATTTTAAGACATTACATTTTTAAGAACAGAACAACAATTTACAGCTTTTTCTTTCATTTTAGCTTTACAGACTAATCTATACACATGGGTGGCAAAAATGATAGCTGTGTGCGTCGTTCATGGAGGAGTTGGACCACATTTCTTCTCTGAAAGGCTTTTCCAGCAGATCTGTGGGATACCAACATCCCCCACAATTGTAGATGAAGTTTGTGACCATACCTTCAGACAACAGTTAATCAAAGTAAGCAGGAGCTTATTTTACATTGAATTTACAGTCTGATGTGACACAGCCCTCAAGTTGCTTTCTATTAAATTTCTAATAAGAAATAAACTCTTTTTAGATACAGGAAGCGACAACGGTCCAAGAGGCAAACAGTGCCATTGCAGAAGCAGCAGACAGTCTCAGCATTATAGGTGCCTTGAGACATGTCTCCAACCTGAAGGAGAAGGACTCCCTTGTCCAGTCTGCTGCAGACGTTTTTGTCAATGGAAGGATGCAGACTGCCCTGGACCAGTAAGCATTTTCCCATCCTGTCTTTGGTCAGATTAATGAGACTGTCATTAGCCCGGGAAAAGTCACAAATGATGTAACATGTTTTACAGGTTTGTCGAGGGGTTTAGAACCCTAGGATTACTGGAGGAGCTTAGAGAGAATCCAGCAGTGTTCCACAGCATGTTCGTCAGTGAGGAGAGGCCACTGCAGGCGAAGGACCTCTTCTCTCTATTTGGAGTTGACTACTCTGTGCAGGGCAGCAACAAAAGAGCCAAAGAAAACAGCACAATATGCTACTGGCGTGACTGGCTCATTGATGTCAAAGGTATACTATTTATGGCATCAGTTATAACTTCACTTTCACTTATATATACTATAACTATAACTATTATATTATACTACTATATTATATATACTATAACTACTATAACTTCACCTTCACTTTCACTATGAATGGTACTGCATATCAGTCCAGGTATTATATATGTAAATTTGTAGAAGATGGATGTAAAGTGTTTTTCTTCTGTTAAAGTTGATGGAGACATCCAACTGGTAAAATACATGACATTGCACCACATTACATTTTCACATTATTGCACTGGAAAGATGAAAATGTCTTTAACCCTCAGGGACTGTTTTCCAGCTGCATCAAGGAGTGAAAGGCATTACATACTGTTAGCTGTTTAGGTAGAATGAAACAAGTACTAACAAGAACTACTTAAATTTGTTTTATTTTTTAAAATACTTGTGAAACAATTTCCAATTTTGTCATTCATACCTATACAAGGTTAGTTTGTATATGTATATACCATATATTTTTCACCACTTTCTGTCTTACAGAAGGAGAATGCAGTCCAATCACACTTGAGAAGGTACTGGAGTTTAGCTCTGGAGCCTCAATGGTGCCTCCACTCGGATTTCCACACCGTCCACAAATTCACTTCATCCACGAGGCCAACAGAGTGTTTCCAGAGGCCAACACCTGCCTCCTAATCCTCCGCTTGCCCATACATAGTGATTATGAGGACTTCAGGAAATACATGAAGGAGGGCATTCTGCAGGCCCCTACTTTTGGTGTTGTGTGAACAGTCTCTGAAAGCAACAGTTCACCTACAACATGTGTCTATGCATTTATGTTTTTCTTGCTACTGTTCCACTGTCACATGTGACACAAAGAACTTCATCAAATACTGTTCCACCAAAAAAACTGTTGCTGTGCAGAGTTTTGCGATGTTTGTCAAAGTTTTAAATATGATTTCAAACAGGCATTTTATAATGTTTACAAAATTGACCATGTTTACATTAGGTACAACTTGTTGAGAGTTAAAATTAAGTGTAGAACTGAACCGAAATTAATGGATTGTTTAAACCTAGACCTGGGGTGTCAAACTCATTTTCACTGAAGGCCACATCAGCATTATGGTTGTCTTCAAAGGGCCAGTTGTAACTGTAAAGGCCCGAACATACTCAGGCGGAACATACGCGGAACGGACTCCGCGGAGGTCCACGCTAACTCAAAGCAGACGTCCGCAAGCCCTGTGCGCGCAAAGCTCAGATTTTACGACCGCGCGGACTCCGCTCCGCGCACCAGTGACTGCTCGGCATGTATTTTTCACATCGCGGGGATTTCTCACGGACATTTTTACAGGAAACTACAATGCGGAAGTGCGCTCGACTATGGAAGCCCGAATGACTGCGGACATTGCTCGCGGAGTCCGTTCCGCTTATAGTACGCCCGAGTATGTTCGGGCCTTAAGATGGTATAAATGAAACTACTCCTTAACATATTTTTAAGTAACTGTCTCTGTATTTGATTATTTATTCAATACATGATTTACAAAAATAGTATATGTATTTGCATAGATGTAAAAATATACGTAAGCACACTGCTTTTTGACTCACCGGCCAAGTTGACTGGTAGATAAAAAAAAATCCACTGGCCAAGCATATTTTTCATTGGCCAGATGCATATTGGGTGAATTTAGTATTTAATTATTAATAAATGCTGCAGTAAAACAACTTGAAAATGAGGTATTTGAAGACCTGTTGTACAAATTTGTTCATTTTGATAAGATTTTTTTTATAGAACTTTAAAAATCTGCCTATGTAGAAATGACTGGGATATTATTCTTATTTTAGCATTAAAAATTATGTAATTAAAGAACAAGAAAGTAATGTTAGATGTAGACAGATGTATGCAACAAAGGGAAATAAGAAAAAATAGAAACTTTATGACTTTACGATGTGCACTTGAACGCACCATGAAGTCTGTCAGTGCCATGCCACCTGGGCGATTTACCGTACAAAGTCATAAATTTTACGCGGGTCACGTAAATGCACCATGAATTCCCTGTATGTGTGACAAACACAGACAGCAGAGGACAGAGATAGGCCTATAACTGACACCAAAACGCAGCAGACTCACATAGTTTTTAAATCGATTTATTCGCCAAACAGAAAACTGACCCACTTTTGGCGCTTGGGGGGTGTTAATTTTGAACCCTGCATCCAACTAATGAGAGATGGTTTGAAACATTTGGCTGCATGGAACACATACACCTGTAAACAAACTGAATACACTGCTACACATAAAAAGTAGTATATTGTATGTAATTAACTCAAAATTATAACTTTATGGTTAATGTATGCTTTAAAGTAGCATAGACTTTTATTTTAAGACAATCATATACAGCTTACATAGGCTCTGGGGGCCACATAAAACGACGTGGCGACCCATATTCTGCCTGTGGGCCTTGAGTTTGACATATGTGACCTAGACCATTGCATTTGTTCTATAAAATGTTGAAAAATGATGTTTCTCAAAGCTCAAGATGGTGTCCTCAAATGTCTTGTTTTGTCCACAAACCAAAGATATTCAGTTTACTGTCATAGAGGACATCAGACATGTCATATGGCATCCCCATTTGAAAAACGGGTTAAAAGTCTTAGGTTGCCATAACATTTGTAATTTCTGCACAGCATGTCAGGTACTTCATCTTCAAATCAGAAATGTGATCAATGGCATGAGAGATTGACTCCTGTTGCTGCTGACTGAGATTGATTTGAGACTGCTCTACAATTACAGCTGGAAGATCATCATCATCAGTAGCAGGTAAAGAGTCAATTCTATGCTGTGCCAGAACTGCCTCCAAATGGTGTGGGCTGTAGGGATTTTCCCCGAACACATTGTTGGTCGCTGCACTGTCTCTTGCCATATTTGAGAGCATGCCTTCCGTCCATATTTGAGATTTGGTTTTGAGGTTTGAGGTTTGGTTGTTTTCCATGCGCAAAGCATGGTTGTTCCAGGCCTCCCTAAAGCGCTCCAGACTTTTTTGAATCTCAGGAAGAAAAACCATGCTGAGTGAAAGTTTGTGAATGTCATTACTGGGATCCAGAAGATGTGAATCTTCAAGAGAGTAGAATGTACTGTAAAAAGACTGCAACACATGCAAAAACACATCCCTCCAAAGACGCTCAATTCTCTGGTTGTGGATTGATTCCCCAGTGATGAAACTCCGGCGCTCGATGCCCTGCACAAGGTTCAGGAGTAAAGCCACCTGCAGGTTTTCACCACCATAATCCGATCGTACTCTAGAGGGTAGTCCATAATGGCATGTGGCTTTAAGAAACTGACACAGTACAGTGGTGGCACGGTTGTTTGTGTTGCAGTTCAGATAAGTGATCAGCCGAGAGTGTCCATCTATGGCACCATGAACTGCAGAGCCCCATCTAAAATGGTGAATACAAAGACAAAACAAATGCTTGTGGTTCATAAACAAGTAATTATTACAGTGAGAAACAGAATTATCAAGAAATTAATAAAAACACAAAAAAGACCAATGAAATGGTTAGAAGGTGTTATGACAATACAGTGTTAAATGTCAAATGTAATTTTTAATGACATAGCAGAAGAAATATTTGAGTTGCAGCTTTCATTAGTAAGACTCAAATGAAACAGGCTATCAGGATTGTACATGTTTACACTACAGCTTTAATAATAGCCTGTTTCTGTGATGTTTATGTATTCATTGTGGATAGATAGTTTTTATGCTGCAAATGTTTTTAAAAAGCCATCATTTAGGCAGCCTGTGAGAGAAAGTGAGAACACTCTGCTTTTGTGTTGTCCCCTTTCCCCAAATTATCACAATTATAAAACAGTGCTGCCATTCCAAATGAGTAGAATTGTGTGTGTTTGTCCTACCAAGAATGGCAGCTCTCTCCAAATTCACATGCAAGGATTCTAAATATTATCTTTTATAACCTATACTGGAATTGAATATTTGTTTGTTGGTTTTCTTGAAAATGAATGAAATAACATTAAGGAAGAGATAGTCTGCTTTATATTTATCAGCTGATTGCTTTCCCATATAATCTTTTAATGTGTGCTGCATGGCCAAATGTTGACTACCTGACCCATAGCTGTGACTACATCATTACAGTATAGAGGTCACAGATAATGGTTAAATATCAATTTCATGATGAATTCACCTTATGAGGCGCATGTTCCCATCTATATGCCACAGGCTATTGGGGTAAGGTATATGATACACCCGTCTTGCCACAGTGCTGCTCCACCTCCGAGCAGCAGCTGCTGGGTTTATGTGGGCCAACATCTCACGCACCCTTCGTCGTGGAAGCAGCAATCCATCTGCACGTAGCAAGCCTCTCATCATCTGAAATTGTAGTAATCTTAATTACTAAAAGAATACAAATTAATGTTTTGGAGCAATAAAACTGTAAAATACAATAAACCATCAATTAGGCCTACCTCATATCCAGAGTTTGGATACAGGCCTTGAAGTCGACTTACGTGACGTTCAAGTTCTTCATCATCTATCACAGAAAATCTTCTCCTCACTGGTATCCCAAGCAATTTTGTCCTCTTGTAAAGAAATGAGGAGGAGCATCCCAAAATTTTGGCTATTCGTTTCACTGTGTTGCCTTGCTTCATGAGGAAGTCAATTTGGTCCCTGGTGACATGAATGGCTGGTCGCCCTCGCCATCCTGAAACCAAGGAAAAAATAGTGTTCATGACAAATGAGATTCAATCGAGGTTATTTCACAGAAAAATAGCTACAGTTTTAACTCGAACCAAGTCTCTCCCTCTCTCTCTCTCTCACACACACACACACGCACAGTTTAAGCAATTCCTCATTAACATTAAATGTTACATATGTTTGTAAGTAAATTTTTGTAAGTAAAATAAACCCACCTGAATTAATGCGATGGGCCGAAAACCCGACATATTTTGCTGCTACTCCAGCACGCGAGATCCGTGTTCTGACACCATCCAGACTTCGTCGTAGCTCCTCAAGCGTGTGTGGAGACAAAACATTTGCAATACGCTGTAAATTTATATTACAACTGTCGAGTGAACGAAGCTCTCGTTCGCCACAAATCCCTTGATGATAAGCTCTTTCAATTTCATGGCATTTTCTAACTATCTTGTCCACAACTGCAACCGCCATTGCCTCTAAGTCTTAAAATCTGGTTTAAAAATGGGAAGCTTATGGCAAGCCTCGCATGAGGAACGTCACGTGTTGACGTTTGAGATATCTCGAACGATTTTTTTGACTAGTCAAAACTGAATTACAGATATCTACAATTGTCATTTACGATGTGTGACAAGTTGACTATCATTTTGAGTGACATTGCTGATATCTGTAATAAGATTTTGCCTAGTCAAAACTGAATTACAGATATCTGTAACTGTAGTTTTGACTAGTCAGAATGACGTTACAGATATCTGTAATTCAGTTTTGACTAGTCAGAATGACGTCATAGATATCTGTAATTCAGTTTTCACTAGTCAAAATGACGTCAGATATCTGTAATTCAGTTTTGACTATTCAGAATGACGTTATTGATATCTGTAATTCAGTTTTGACTAGTCAGAATGACGTTACAGATATTTGTAATTCAGTTTTGACTAGTCAAAATGACGTTATAGATATCTGTAATTCAGTTTTGACTAGTCAGAATGACGTCATAGATATCTGTAATTCAGTTTTGACTAGGCAAAATGACGTCATAGATATCTGTAATTCAGTTTTGACTAGTCAGAATGACGTTAAAGATATCTTAAATTAAAATTCATAATAGTCACAATGTATGGCAAGCTGTTTTAACATTTAATCGCTAGACTGGATATTCATTACTGATATCTGCAACATAATTTTTCCTAGTCAAAACTCTAATTACAGATATCTGTAATTCACTTTTTACTAGTATGATTCAAACTATTTTTGCCATTCATGTGTATGGGGTTTGTCATTATAGATATCTCCAATGTAGTTGCGGATATCTGCAATTCTTATTGCAGATATCTGCAAGTGAATTGTAGATATCTGTAATTCCAGTTTGAGATATCTACAATTTAATTTTGACTAGTCATAATGCAAGTTCAAGATATCTTTAATTATCATCAATTGAAGATATCTACATGGTCCTTTCTAGATATCTTGAATTGAGTTTCAGATAGTCAAAATGACGTTGTAGATATCTTGAATTGAGTTTCAGATAGTCAGAATGACGTTGTAGATATCTTGAATTTGAATTATGACTAGTCAAAATGACGTTGTAGATATCTGTAACTGAATTATGACTAGTCAGAATGACGTTGTAGATATCTTGAATTCGAATTATGACTAGTCAGAATGACGTTGTAGATATCTGTAACTGAATTATGACTAGTCAAAATGACGTTATAGATATCTCAAACTGGAATTATAGATAGTCATAACGTAATTGTAGATATCTATAATGACAAACCCCATACACATGAATGGCAAAAATAGTTTGAATCTTACTAGTCAAAACTGAATTACAGATATCTGTAACTGTAGTTTTAACTAGTCAGAATGACATTATAGATATCTGTAATTCAGTTTTGACTAGTCAGAATGACGTCATAAATATCTGTAATTCAGTTTTGACTAGTCAGAATGACGTTATAGATATCTGTAATTCAGTTTTGACTAGTCAAAATGACGTTACAGATATCTGTAATTCAGTTTTGACTATTCAGAATGACGTTACAGATATCTTAAATTAAAATTCATACTAGTCACAATGACATTACTACTAGTCAATATGACGTTATAGATATCTATAATGGTAATTCCAGATAGTCGGACTTAGTGATTAAATGTTAAAACAGCTTGCGATAGAATTTTAATTACAGATATCTATAACGTCATTCTGAATAGTCAAAACTGAATTACAGATATCTATGACGTCATTCTGACTAGTCAAAACTGAATTACAGATATCTATAATGTCATTCTGACTAGTTAAAACTACAGTTACAGATATCTGTAATTCAGTTTTGACTAGTAAGATTCAAACTATTTTTGCCATTCATGTGTATGGGGTTTGTCATTATAGATATCTACAATTACATTATGACTATCTATAATTCCAGTTTGAGATATCTATAACGTCATTTTGACTAGTCATAATTCAGTTACAGATATCTACAACGTCATTTTGACTAGTCATAATTCAAATTCAAGATATCTACAACGTCATTCTGACTAGTCATAATTCAGTTACAGATATCTACAACGTCATTTTGACTAGTCATAATTCAAATTCAAGATATCTACAACGTCATTCTGACTATCTGTAACTCAATTCAAGATATCTAGAATGGACCATGTAGATATCTTCAACTGATGATAATTAAAGATATCTTGAACTTGCATTATGACTAGTCAAAATTAAATTGTAGATATCTCAAACTGGAATTACAGATATCCACATTTCTGTTTCAGATATCCTTAATAATAATTGCAGATATCCTCATCTACATTGTAGATATCTATAATGACTTACCCCTTACACATGAATGGCAAAAATAGTTTGAATCTTACTAGTAAAAAGTGAATTACAGATATCTGTAATTAGAGTTTTGACTAGGCAAAATCTAATTAGGGATATCTTGAATAAGAGTTTTGACTAGGCAAAATTATGTTGCAGATATCAGTAATGAATATCCATTCTAGCGATTAAATGTTAAAACGGCTTGCCATATACACTCCCGGTATTCCTGGTAACTCCGGGTTAGCGCTGTAAGCTCGTCCATCTTATTCCCCAGTGATCTCACGTTGCCCATGATGATAGATGGGAGACACGGCTTGTATGTCTTCCTCTCCATAAGTCTCCGGTGTTTCGCTCCTTTCCGCCGCCGTAGCGATCTTTTCCCTCTTCATCCCCGGTGTGTTTTCCTCCAAAGTTCAGCAGGGATATCCTCCCTCACCGTAGCCAAGCCGGCCTGTTTCAGCTCCATCAGCTGATCCCTGGAGTAAACAATGCTGTGTTGCTGAGTGACTGTCGAGTGGCAGAGTATAAGGAGCGATTCCACCACAAGCAAAACAACAAAAACTCTCCACACAAGCATGATTAGAGAGGACGTAGCTTAATAAATAACTAAAGTAAAAACAGAACAAGTAAGATAAAGAAGAGAGGAAAAAGTAGAAAACAAAGTTAAAGTAAGCAGGAGCGACTGGAATCGGCTGCATACACCGTGGCACATGCGCACTACATGTACATCACAATGGAACTGACTGATCACTGACACTGATGATGTCACTGATGACATCACAATCCAAGAATTCAGAGTTTGTAAGTAGAACCCTGTCAAACAGAGGTAAGTGTACACACGTCAGTTAGAAGCATTAGCATATTTTCCAAGAGGAGACTCAACACAGAACGACTGACCTGTTAAGATGAACCCTCAAGGACACGCACCCCTGATCTTCCACAGAATACTCAGGGTGCTATTTGGAGTTATTCCAGCACTAGGACAACTGCCTCTTCCAGGTCACCATTTTGGCAATGGTGACAACCGGACCAATCCATATGTTGCGGTTGATCCAGCCTTCAGGGTTGTTCCAGCTACAGAGGTCGATTTGGCAATCAACCAGCATGCTGAACCAGCAGACGACCCACCTCAAGAAGAAGGCAATGAGGATGAGGACAGCAACCAGCATGCTGAGCAGGAGGATGACCCGCTGCCTGGCGGATCCAGGCGGCGGGCTCGAGAAGAAGATGATGATGAGGATGAGGAGAGAGAGAGTAAAAGATTCAGGTGGTGGGATGAATTCGCAGACAGCGACAGTGACTGTGACAGTGACTGTGACAGCTACTGCGACAGCATCTGTGAGGACAGTGTAGATGATGATGATGTAATGTTTGAGGATGAAGAAGAGGACCCAATTCCATCAACATCCAGGAAAAGGGGAAGAGTTGAGGAAGATGAGGATGACAGAAGACCTAAAAAATCCAGACACTTACATCATCAGTCCTGACAGATGCTGTAACATCCCCTCCACCCCAGCATCATCACATCACTGACACCTAGCAACATCAAGCTGCGTTCACACCAAACGCGAATTCGTAAATTCGCGCGTCAAGATTACATACAACGTCAATGCAAAGACGCGATGGACGCATCTAGCGTGACGCGATGGATGCGATAGGGGCGTCTAGACGCGAAATTCGCGTCCAACGCCTCATCGCTCGAGTTGAGAATATTGAACTTAAGCTGCGTTCACACCGGGCGCGAGTGAAGCGAATTACTCGCTCGTAATGCGAGTAACGCGTAACGCACGGGTTTGGACGACCATTTTGTTAATTCGCGTTATCACGTCATTCGCGTGAGTAGCGGGGAAGCTGGCTGTGCTAACTGGAGCTAAGCTAGTGCTAACGTTCATAGTACAACCATTCTGCAAACTAATTAAAGACACATATTTACAGAACTTACAAGTAGACCAGTCTCCTCTGTGACTTTCACCCAAGCCTGCTCCTTTTTGTTGCGGTCTCTGTAGAGTAGACACGTAGTATCATATAGGTCCGGGTAGCCACTGACAACCATGGCTGAGATAACCACCATCGCTGCTTAGTACCTGCTCTGGAAGTCCCCGATGCGTCGGAGGGCCAAACACCGTCGTTTTTGGGTTCACCCTATCCTGCAGAAGCGCATCCAGCTCAGCGAGTTTCACCACCTCCTCCAGGAACTCCGTCTGGATGATAGTTACTTTCAGCAGTACTTCAGGCTGACTTGGGCCCAGTTTGAGGACCTGTTGGCAAAGCAGCGATGGTGGTTATCTCAGCCATGGTCGTCAGTGGCTACCCGGACCTATATGATACTACGTGTCTACTCTACAGAGACCGCAACAAAAAGGAGCAGGCCTGGGTGAAAGTCACAGAGGAGACTGGTCTACTTGGTAAGTTCTGTAAGTATGTGTCTTTAATTAGTTTGCAGAATGGTTGTACTATGAACGTTAGCACTAGCTTAGCTCCAGTTAGCACAGCCGGCTTCCCCGCTACTCGCGCGAATGACACGAATTAACAAAATGGTCCAGCATCCAAACCCGTGCGTTACGCGCGGCGTGTTACTCGCGGTATGTGAGAGTAATTGGCCTCACTCGCATCCGGTGTGAACGCAGCTTCATGTTCAGGTGAACACAGACTACCAGCATCTAAACACAGGGACACTCCAGACACCCACCAGCTGATCGTCCCAGAGGGGGATCCCTCTCTGACTAGGTCCTCCCAAGGTTTCTTCCTGTGAGGAGTTTTTCCTTGCTGTCTTTGAGGGTCTAAGGTTTGGGTGGGTGTCTTTTTACTAAAGCCCTCTGTCCCTAAATAAATAGATGAGATAAATAAGTAAATTAGATAAATAAATAAACAGAAAACTTCAGTTAACATGCTAATTTTGTCTCTGTATTTTCAATCACCTCCTGTAGCTAAAGTACACACAAACTCAGCAGCTACATAAATAAAGCAGACCTCAAAATGTCCTTTACACAAGTGTCGTTGCCCAATTTGACCCCTTGCTATAATTGTTTTGTGTGTGTGTGTGTGTGTGTGTGTGTGTGTGTGCGTGCGTGCGTGCGTGCGTGCGTGTGTGTGTGTCTGTGTGTGCGTGTGTGTAACGGAGATTCCTCTCAGGAGGAGTTCATATGTCAGTGATGGAGGCACCGCAGGGCTTCCCCCCCTTTCTCCTTTGGGTGTCTTTCCTGCTCACAGCAGGGCCCTTCATGGCAAATTGATAAATCATAAGGAATGATGTCTGTCAGATGGGTTGTACCCTGCATCTGCCATTTAAAAATTAATTTATTATTAAACAGATCAGCGTATGCATTATTGATTTGATCTTTTTACTGATGCTGTCTCACACTGCTTTTAGGTTATTTGGGCTTATGATGGTTAGTGATGCACACAGTGAGCTGAATTAAAGAAGCTGGAGAATGCATCTAAGTTAGATTTCAACATCTATCATCACAATGCCTGTTTTAAAAAAGCAACTGTATAAAGTAACTGCATAGATGCATTTACACACAACCATCACTCACTCAATAATGCTCATAACTAGGCTTCTGTTTTGAATTATCTGAGCCTCTGTACTTTTTTAAAACGATCTAAGTGACATGCACGGGAAACTTGTCATCTTGAAATGGTAAAATAAAAAATGGCCACTATGAATTTGATGTTATTTTAACCACAATGCATTATATATAGTATATAGCACAGGATGAGCTACAAGTCCTCATCTTTTTGGCACAGAAACACTAAGTGCACTTTAGATGTGATGGACTGCTGTTAGAGAGGGAAAGATCTATATATAGTGATTAAATGTATTGATTAAATGAAAAGGAGTAAGTGTGTCATGATGTTGCTACTTGTTTTGACCAGCAAAGCTACCCTGAAGTCACGCTTACCTGATAGGAACATTTCCTTTCAAAGTGACGAGGCACATGAGAGCGAGTCAGCAAGATCAATCTGGATTTCGTGTTTTCTGACACATTTCATGTCAGGGTGGGGGGAGGATGCTGAGGTTATTCAGCTCTGCCCTCCTCTGTCCTCAACACATCTCCTCCTGCCTCTGAGTTCTGTGTATGTGTGTGTGTGTGCGGTGCATGTGTGTGTGTAGGATGGTGGTGGCAGAAAGGAGGCGAGTTGAAATAACACCGCTCAACCTTCTGTGCTGTTTGCGGTGGAGAATCCTTTGAGGGTTTCTATGGCAACCCACAGCCTTGGAAACCCAGCATCTTCGTCCAGATGATGCAGTGGTCTGTCAGTCTCTGCCAAGTGTGTAGCTCGCCTCTCTTCAAGCCAGTCTGCTTCGTTTGTTTCTTTCCAAGCGACGGAGTGAAGCATGTAAGTGACTCTGTAATGCACAAGTTCATGTAAAATGCCTCCAAACGTCTGTAGAGAAAGTCGATTTACTCACGCTGTTTTTTTTTATACCTGAAGGCACACTCTCTAAAACTTAGATGGTGTGGATATTTTGAGAGGCAGCTTGCAAGCCTTAAAGTTACATCAAAGTAGACTTTTGTACAACCATTAGTCTTTTACTTGAAATGTGAGGGACGAATTTGAGAGTGCAGTTTTTCCAGAGGCTTTATCTCCTCCACTAGTCGAGTCCCCTCCCTTTCTTCCCCATGTTTAATTAATCACCTTTATATTTTTGGAACTCGGGATGACAATGCAAATCTGTCGTGAATTTCAAAGAGGTTCATGACTCACTGTTAGCAGAGCTTAGTGCCTCTGTGAGATGACAACAAGGATAAACAAGATGTCAGAGAGCCTTCTGTGAATCGGGTGTGAGCATAGCACGCCACTGATTTTCATGCATCAGTGTCCTGCCCAAAAAAAATGCTCTCCCCTCTGTGGCCTCGGTGCTTTTAGGAGCGGAGTTATCTTGCGTTTCAGCATTTTTATTTTATTTTTTTTACAATGTTCTATTAATGTTTCTCCACAGGTTTGTAACCTCGAGAGGCTGAGAGGAGATAGACGGACTGGAATAAGAGATAAAACACAGTGGAAAACAAGAAAAGGCATTTAAGTAGTCTGCTGAATAAACATTTAATGTCCCAAATGATTGCCATCTTAATCTGCAACTTGAATATTTAACACTTGTCAGGTTTTTTCAAATGTAATTCTGTTCCATTACTCCCACATGGAGTCAGGCCTCTGCTCGGAGGAGGAGGGTAGCTTTAATTAAATTTGATCCTTTGAGATTATTACATACTTCCACAGCCAGCAACTAAGGCTGAGTGGTCTTTAAATGCCAGGGGTCTATTTAGCGTATACAATTATTGGAGAATACCCTCAGGAATGGGGGAGGAGATCATTAAAGTCAATTTAGAGCTCATTTGATGTGCATCTGTTGAACCACGAGCAGTTACAACAGAATTTTCATCAGAATTCACACTGGAGCAATAATTCACATTATGACAAGTAAGAATTAGTGACAATTTCCAGCAACTGTACTGTAGATGATGGATGTTTGCTGCCTGAAAGCACCAGCAGCAGTGGTGTATACACTCCCGGTACCTGCGTAAACCCATAGTATAAATGGTCCTCCTTGGTAACCTAACCAGTTATCTAGTAGTACATCCACCTCATCAACTACCACTACATCACTGACCATCACTTACACAGCTGATGTCAAAGGATCTTTGTGAATCTGTCGAGGAGAGACACAGGATGCTCACAGACACTGTGGAGCAGGGGCGTAAATATAAACAGTGCAGACAGGGCAGTTGCATTGGGGCCAATGGGGAGAGCGGGCCCTCCAACCATAGGTTAGGCAGATAACGGGCCCTTGTGAGTAATTTAGATTGCCACCTTAGAAATATGCATGTGTTCAAATTAAAACCGATGCCATGTGCTTTATATACCTTTAAAAAGGCAAACCCATCTCGAATTTTGGTTTTCTTTGGTTTTTGTAAAACAGCCATCAGCAATCTATAACAAAATATGTTATAGCATATATATATATACTTACTTTACATAAACTGCAAATAAGGTATAAAAAAATTTCAACTGAACATATATTTCCTTATTTTCTTTGGTATTTTTGTCTTTACATATATGCAATGATGCTTTCTGGCTGATATGATGATGGTGTTATCCACTCTATTTGATCATGTGACACAAAGATTATACAGTAACTAGTTTAGGCACATAACAAGCAACTAGCATGCCTTGGGGCCGGTCATAATAGCGTGCACTGGGGCCCGTTGTAACTACCTTACACCACTGCTGTGGAGTAACATCTCAGTATTGATAATCGAACACTTCTCTTTTATAGCAGTACTTAGCAGTACTTTACACCCTCTTTATGTTCCTGCTGTTATATTTGTACCTGAAAAGACTGCAATAAAATACCTTCTCTGTCTGTTTCTGCTTTTTAATTCAGCCCCTACTTTGTAAGAAGTGATGCAGGCTGTGTCTTTATAACTTCAAACTATGTAATTTACGTTGAACTTGGAGAATGTCATAGTTTTATTTATTTAATTGTGGATAAATCATCTCAATTCCAGTTTTGAAAAAAAAAATCTAATTTGTAACCTGCTAATAGCACAGTTTGAAGGAAGAAATGGAGTGTTAGACATTCAACATCCATAATGATTTTTGACTTAGTGTTTTGAATATTTAGATTTTTTTCATTTCCTATAATGATGCATGTAGCCGACTATATGTATGAGCTTTTCTGTTTGATAAGTATTGAAAGAAGGTGCAAACTTGTCATTAGATAACAGGTGGGTAGACATGAAACAAACTGTATCAGCCCACTGAAAGGTGAACATTTCTAAAACTCCTATAGGAAACATATGATCATCCATAGCAGAGCGTTATAATTCCCATTCATGTTTCTGATTTCATAACATCACAGCAGTCAGTGCACTCATGTCGTGTAAACTAACATCTCTTTGCTAAGGTATTTCTCAGCTATCAGCCCAGTCTGTGGTCTCTGGCTGACCCCAAACTGTCCCACCTCCCAACCTAAATCAACTGTCAGCAAACCATGTACAGGCTTTGGCTCTGGCAGACGCAATACCTTCAAAGACTCTTACAACTAAAACCATTAGGGAGTTAAAGCATCTGTTTTAGTCTCCTTTCCATTCCACGCCGTATGCTATTTTAACCCAAGGTGGTTACGTCTAAGATACTAATCCTCCGCTTAAAATACCTCTGTGTACATCTGATGTGTGTCAAGCTTTGCAGTGATTACAAACTGGGCTCATGTAAAAACCATTAGCTTTAGCTCTTAACGTCCCACATAATATAAAAGCGGTGTTACATGCTGAAACACCTGGGAGCCTTTTCTTCAAACTACAAGCAAGTTTTGGAGTGCATTTCAACATTTTATTATAATAAATATACTTATGTACATTATCTGAGACAGCAGTCTGTATGTACAAACCCCTCTATTCACATGTTGCAATGTACATTCAACACTGTTTGCAAGAGAAACCCTGAAAAGGAACATGAACAGGCTTACAGTGAACGGGTGCATTATTAAAAGACAGTGGACCGTCTCTGAGGTCCCCAAGGCTCTTATGAAGCACACTGTGATTTGATGCAATGAAGTAAGATGCAGGCCTGCTATACATATGTTCTGCTGTATTAAAACTGTGCTAACAGGAGTGTGGAACAGTGCAGATTAGATCACATCCAACTGTGACACTGGCTCTATGAGTTTCCATACAACATGACCCCATTTCTCTGACTCTAGATGCTCCCCCCTCTTATCACGTCTGACTTTGCTGGATTGAATTCATAAATTTAAAGCATCAATCAGCAGAACATCAAGGGGGGGATACTTAACAGTAGGCTACATTTACGCTTGAGCTTTTCCACTAATCCATTTGGATTACGTGTCGGTTGTATCATCCTGATGGCCAGACACTGTCACGTAATTTCATGATTTTTTTTCCCTCTCCTCTTCCAAAAATACACGACCCCTTGGCCCCTCAAAATACGTAACCTCAGATTGTGCCCGGTGTCCATTCTATTGTTCTACATTTTATCTAGTGCAACTCCTCAACTCCACCGAATACATTCATAAATCCGAGAAAGATTAATAACTTCGCGTGTCCACATAGCCTGTTTTTCAGCCCCTCAGGTAAAAAAGCTCTTTGCGGAGCTGCTGGCTCTTATAGACGCTGTGACGCGCCAGTGGGCAGCCGCGCAGGGTGTCCATCAGGGTGGGCTGTCGGTGAGGCAGTTCAGGACATATTGATGACCAAATATCCTAGCACCACAGCGACCGTGACGATGATAAAGAACACGAGCACGGCGCAGATCGACGCAAAGCCAGCATCCCTGTTGCCTCCCCCCTCCTCCTCTTTGGGCTCCTCTTCGCAGATGGAGATGACACCCACGGAGGAATTTCCTACACTCATGTTGGATTTGAGCTCCGCGCCCGCCTCCTGCTTCGCCTCGACGGCCCACGGCGCCACCTGCACCTTCATCTCCATCTCCTCCATCATCTGGGTCACCTGGGTGATCTCGGACTGCAGGTCCCGGAGGTCCGCCGTGTCGATGTTGCTGTCCGCCTCGTATTTCATGTTCTGCACGCTCATGGCGCGGGCCGCCACCGTGGTGGTGCTGCCGGTCATCCCCGTCTGGATCAGGTGTCTCGTCGGCACCTTGAGGGGGAAATCCTGCGCTATCTCCAGGGACCTTTTCATGTCCACCTCCAGGAGCTCCATGCTGCTCGAAAACAGCACCCATAGGCGCTCGTACTCGGCCCGGTCCTCTTTGCTGATGGTCTTATCTTTGAGCAGAGAGGTCAGTTTAGTCCTGTTGGCCACGGCCAGCTCCTGGGCCTTTTTGCGGGTCCTCTTCAGCTCCTCTCGCAGGTTCTGCGAGTCCGAGGTGCTTCCCAAAGCGATCACCAGGTGCCTGTAGCAGGCGGTCACTTTGTTCAAAGCGTCCAGCATTGTTTTGCACTCATCTTTCCCCATGGCTGCTTAAAATATAATCTCTCTACTCGCCAGAAATATGAGAGAATGAACAAAAGAAGCCTGGAGAGAAGCTGTTGGTGACGGCGCTTTATCCACAGTCCTTAGTTTAGTTTCAACAGGAGCACACCCCGAGCTCTACAAATCCCCTCAGCGCACTAGTCAGAGCAAATTCCTCTCTATCCATGCTCCTTCCTGTCTGCAAGCAGGCACAGAGAGCGGCTTAGATATTAATGCGTCCGTAAATGGCTTTAGGCTACCTTTGCGCTTCCCCACTCGAGATCAAACAGCGCCGGAGCACCTCTCCTGCAGGGCGGACGCTGAGTGGATGTGAAACAATCCAACCTGCCTTTTTAGGAGACTGAGATCCAGATTCAGCTACAGGTGTCACAACATCCGCCTTAGTCCCGTTTGCGGAGAGAACACGGCGCCTTTCTCGTCAGCAGCTTAAAATAAAGTCCATTAATGTTCAAAGATGACGCGCGGCTGGGGAAAAAGGAGATCCTCACTGAGAGTTAAAGAGATAGAGGGGCTTCAAAGCATCCAGAAGAGCCATTGTGTTTTTGGTTTGGGTTTTGTTTATCTGTATCTGGGAGCTGTCAGCTTCAGCACCCAATCGATGATGTTTAAATACCAGTAAGCGCCTTCTGAGGTCACATGTGCGCACTCAACACAACCATGCAGGCAGGGAAACAAAGCAGCTGCGCTCCCATTGGTTTGGTCACACAGGCGTCTTGTTCAAAAGCACCCTGTCATTGGCTGCTCTGTGCCTAAGGTGGGCAGTGCTGTGATGTCTATCAGCCAGGGCGTCAAATCACAAAGCTCTAACCTATCTGCTACTATCTTCCATTTGTCATCAGGATCTCTGCATGTGTTGTCAGTTACAAGTGAAGCAATGATTGACAACATTCAGCATTTCATATATTTATCTTTACATTTAAAAACAGTACTTGAAGAGGAAATGAGTTAATAATTTGAACCACTCTACACCTACTTGGTTAAGACATATCACACTTTTTTGTTGTGCAGAGAATTGATGATAACGTGTGCACAAGTGACAACCCGTGTATTAATTTCTCCTCTACTTGCTCGTATGCCTTACAGTTAATTATACCCATACCTGCCTGCACACTGTTTCTGTCCAGGAAGGATGCCAGTGGTTGCACACACAGTGCTGGTAGGATAATGTGTTGTTTACCTACTTGGCTCCTGCTGTGTTGAGAGGTGAGAGGCAGATAAGGCTGTGCGGTGTTTGCCTCCTTTGCTCTTTTTGCATTATTGAGGCGGATGGGGCCTAATGATCCATCAACTGCAGTGTAAAGCTAATGGAGCGAAGCACAGTGGATGCCCAAGGAGCTGAGGGTGAAGCTTATTGTTTGGCTTTATTGTGGCACAGGTGATTTATTGCTTCTGTTTCATTTATTCCAAGCTTGAAAAAAGTATTAATTTCAGTCACATATTTATAAGGCTGATTCAATCCATTGCTGTATGTGTCTCCGCTCTATTTGTACTGTAAACTGTGCTGTTTGATATATTTGATCTGCTGATAGACGTGCCACTGATGTCTGACCAGTAACAAATATCTTGGCTGAGTCATGTTTTGTTAAGCTCTTGGCAAATGGATCGTCTTTCCTTTGAATATGTTTCCATGGCAACCTCTCACCTCTTGGCAAGCGCTCTTTAGTAATTTTTCCACATGGTATTCAATTACTGCTGGTGCAGTAAGTTGTCAACCATCATCCTCGACGTCTCTGTTGCATTTAGGATCACAGTTTGGCTGCTGTCAAAAGAAAGATTCATGAATAGCGGCTGGAAGATGTAGTGTAAGGGCCTTTTGAGACCTTTTTTTTTTAATGGATCTATTCCTTATTTGAAACGTCCTTTTTACAAAGGAGGTACATTGCAGCGTCCTTCTCTCAGCTCACAAAATATCAGCAAGTTTTTCCAATCCTGAATTAACACGTGTGGAAACTCACAGTCAAAGTCCGGAGGACAAACAAGACCTGTGGCCTGCCGTCAACAACAAACTTGGGAATTTATTTCTGTCCAATCTCTTCCTTGTTAAGGTGATAACCTTTACATGGAACTGCTGACAGCGTTGAGGTAGAATTGCAGGATTACAAGTAGTACAACTGGCTGTGGTGTCTGTCTGTGCTCCTATAATAAGTTTGCTGATAAGCTGGTCTGTTAGATTCAAGTGTTAGGATGAGTCAGACGTGTTGTGGTCTGATTGCTCTCAGAGTGAACACATCATGGAAAACGCAATGTGATTTCCTGTGCAGAGGCTCTCTGTGGTTTGCTGTTACACAGAGAGGTGTAACAAGATAGCGAGGAGCTCCCAGATGTTAAGGTTGTTTTTACACAGATGAGTGCAATATGCTGACTCAAAGACAAAAAAAAATCCTTGATGATTCTATCTGTTTAATGAAATTTTGTAAGAACAAATGTCATATCCTGCCTTCCTGACAGTAATCTAGTCTTATTAGGATTTTGCATTGTAATAATAAAGATGCCATACATTTTTTTTATTCATGGTCCGTTTTTAACTTAATGAGTATTAGCAGGGTTATGATCACAAGTAAAGATGGCTGAAGCCAAAGTAAGTGCAGACCAAAAGCAATAATAAATGGGCAATTCAATTCAATTCAATTCAGTTCAATTCAATTCATACTTTGTTAAAGACACGTCTCAAGGAGAGGACAGAAGACAAACAACATACACAATTTAAAAAAATAAAAAAAAAATAACAAATATGGCAAATATTTGTTGTCCTCATAATGCTTCTTAGTATTTTTTAAAGATGCACTATGCAGGATTGTCAGTAACTGCTAATGAACACACTTGCCAGCAAAAGTCAAAGTAAAAGCCAACGTCAATTTCACTCTGGTTTGGTGTTTTGTCTAACTATATTTGTGTTTTTTTCTTCTCTGTGTCTCTTGGATGGCAGCCGCTTACAGTCTGGCACCTGATTTCTACCTTTTTAAAAAGCCCTGACTTCACCTGTGCATTGTGGTGGTACACGTCCATAAATATAAGAAGAAAATAAGAAATTGCAGGCAGAGGGCAGAGTCTCTGCAGGTATATGGTTAAATCCCAATACAAGTGTTTGTATATTTTACAAAAATCCACATACCACTATTCGTATGATATCTAATGAATTAGTGCCCAATGAATTCAATGCATTCTCATAGAACAGTCCATATGATATCCTGCAAAAAATGCATGCACAACAGTTTGTATGATATCCTACAAATTAGCACCCCATGAAGGATGTTACGCCTTTAACGTACAGTTATGTAATTAACGTAAAGTTACGGAGGCTAGGTTTAGGCAAGTAAAGTTACTGTGGTTGGGTTTAGGAAAAGAAACATGGTGAGAACGTACCTTACAATGACTCAAAGTTCACACAGTTCCAAACATGCAACTCCAAGGGAAAGTCTGAGTTTTTGTGACCCATCCACCACCCCAACCTACCTCCTTACAAGACCACTCAAGGCTACTTCCTTGTTTACTCCTGTCATTGCATTGGTCTTGTCATCGCAGCCTTTCAAAATGCTTTAAAAGTATTTTCAAAATACTACAAAAAACATACGAACAATTTGTGAGAACAGCCCAACGAATTAGCGTCGCTACCTGTTACATTAGGTTTAGGGAAAGAATCGTATTTGAGTATCATCACCTTATGTTATCATACAATTATGGCATTAGTGTCAAGTAACATAGATTAGGGTTTGGAAAGTAAAGTTACGTTGGTTAGGGATTGGAAAGTAAAGTTTTGTAGGTTAGGGTTTGGAAAGTAAAGTTACATAGGTTAGGGAATGGAGGGTAAAGTTACGTAGGTTAGAGATTAGAAGGTAAAGTTACGTAGGATAGGGTTTGGAAAGTAGTTTCGTAGGTTAGGGTTTAGAAAGTAAAGTTACGTATGTTAGGGTTCGGAAAGTAAAGTTACGTAGGTAGAGGTCGGAAAGTAAAGTTACGTAAGATAGGGTTTGCAAAGCGAGCTACTCCATTCTTTACTCTCATCAGCACCTTGCTCATGTGATCCCAGCCTTTCAGATTATGTGGGTTGTACTTTAATTACTGGCTCGTGATTACGTGGGCTGTTTATGAATTGTGGTGCGTTACTCTTTGTAGGTATATAAACAGTGCACGAGAACAGCCTGGATAAATATACTGCCACACTCTTTTAGTGTGCCTTAAGTGATGATTGAAAGGGATTAGTCTTTGGTTTTTTTGATTATTTTACATAGCACACCAAAATGTCAATGGAATTTTCTACATTATGTTTGTACTATTACATTTAGTCAGATGTAACTGTCAAATTAGGGCCATGGTCACAGACAATACTGTTAGGTGATAACCACCATGACAAGGTAGCATTTGTTACTGCCGGTTGACATCAGTCTGCTGCATCTATCTCTTCCACTATTTGGAAATAGGGCCAGATGTGTGTGTGTTCACAGCAGGAAACACTTGATTTGTGTCACACTTGAAAGTGGCATTTACTTTGGGACAAAGAGCATTTTTGTTTACATACAAACCAGCTCACACAGCAGATCTGACCAATAACCTTCAACCATGCGGACACAAATAGTGTCAAAATGTGTTTTCATTCGTCCTAGATTACAGTGCATAATATCACTTACATGACAAATGGCAGCAAACTGTCCTGAAAATAAACATATACAGCATGCTTGACTGAGGCATGCATGTCATCACTAAAACCGTGGAATTAAAAGATGAGCAAAACACCTCAAGTTCAAGAGGTTAAGATGAAGAGGAAACCAAAGGAGCAGGAAATAAGTTGGCATAGGGCATCTGACAAGTGATGCTATAAAATGATCTACGAACGGTATAATCCAGATTAGTGGGTCCCCGAAGGTCCTGGGATTAGCAATATAATGCCCTCTAATGTATCTTTTAATGGAGGCTGTCATCTGTCTCTCATGCATTTTCATCATATGGAATCGATGGTTTAGGCAGGAAATGGAGCTCGCTGGCCCTCACTACACTTCGTGTGATAGCGGTCAAAAGGGGACAGACATAAAGATGTTTTCCCTTAAAGCACAATAATGCTCCGCGCAAACACATTAGAAACTGTTGGAAAAAACCCAGTCAGCTTCTTTGATAATCCCAGTAAAGAGCTGCTGCACGGCCCTTTACTTTAACATTCAAGGAGGCTCTATAGATGAAGTAAACACACACACACACACACACCATGTGTTTCTCCTACTAAATGTTTCAAGCACAACTGTATCCTTTTTGTTCTTTGATTAAAACTTTAGCGGATTTGTCTAAACCTAACATGCGTGTCTTTTGGTGTGGAAAAAAACTGTAGCACCTGAGGTAAACCCACATAAACTCAAGGGAACTCCTCTTCATTGACCCCTCTCAGTCAAGTACTGTATCTTCTTGCTGTGAGGCAGTAGTAGCCGCAAACCACTGAGCCGCTGAGTGGTCAAAATATCATCTCCTAAAATCTTCTAAAACACCCCTCTTTTGACTCCTCCAAGTCTGACATCTAATTTAGCAATGCCCACATCTGAGATAAAGTGTCTGGAACAGGATTAGCACTTTGTGTGGCCCTAATCTGACATGATCACGAAAAGCCAAGTTGACGTCTTGTTTCTAGTGTAGAAAAAAA